TTGGAGTGTTTTATCGTAATTTTAAAAAAAAAAAAAAAAAAAAAAAAAAAAACTATTTAGATACATTATGTTTAAAGAGTTTGATAATTGATATAATAGACTCACTGTAAATGGTCATTTTTATCGTAATTGTGGTACGTGACTGCTACCAATTTTATATTTTGACATAAATATTAGTGTATATATACTTGCGTTTGATAATTTTTTTTTTTTTTAAAGTATTTCAAGTGCATTTGGCAAATGCGTTTGAATCATCTTTCTTTAAAAAAAAATAATAATAAGAACAACTGCATCGACTCAAACGTTTTTCCCAAACAAGTTTTATACAAACACATATAACTGATTTTCAAAAGTTAGACACTTTTATTAATAGGTTTCAAAACTTGCGTACACGGTACACGCACATTTTTGTAGGACTGTCAAAGTGGGCTAAAACCTGCGAGTTGACCCGCACCCGCCCCAGGACGGGGCGGGTTAAGGCCTTAAAAAAACTGGCCCGCGGCCCGCGCGGGTTGCGAGGGCAAATTATTGTATGGACCATGGTCCACACAATGTTATGTGGACCATAAGAAAAAGTACATTTTTAATATACTAAATGTACATTATTTTTGTAGTGAATGTACATTATATAATATAATGTACACTCAGAACAAAAATAATGTACATCCTCTGAATACAATGTACATTATTTTTGTACTGAATATACATTATGTTTGTACTGAATGTACATTATTTTACAGTAGACAAAATATGGTCCACACAACTTGTGTGGACCATGGTCCATAGAATAATGATTGGGTTGCGAGCCAGCACGTGGGCCAAGCCTTTAAAAAAAAAAAAAAAAAAAACTTTGAGTCTGTAATTCCTTTTTGAGAAGAAATAGAATAAACCCTATACCCTATGTCCCTTACTCCCTTATATATTCTAAATAATTTCTAATTAAGCCAACAGACCTTCCGTCTCTTCTCTGCGATTCGTGAATCCAGAAGGCCAGAACACTAAACACCGCCCAGTCGCCCACCGCCGTTCACCCATCACCGGTCGACCGTCCCCGCTGATCACCACTTATATTAATGTTGATTGTGAAGTTAATATGCCGGGGGATACACTAGTTTCACCTAAACCTTCTGAACAAGCTGAAAATTCAGAATCACAAAAAAGAGGTACGAAAAGACGTCAAACATCAGATGTGTGGAATCATTTTGATGTAATTGAAATTGGTGATAACAAAGGGCTAAATGCAAATATTGTCATAAAGATTATGTGATGGGGTCACACCAATATGGAACATCAACTTTATCCCGTTATTTAGCTTCTTGTAAAGTAAAGCCTAAATATAATGATGTGGGTTCTATGTTAATTGATCATGAAGGAAAGTTGCGTGCCAAAAAAATTGATCATAATGTGGTCCGTGAAATAATAAGCATGAGCATTATTGAACATGATTTGCCATATTCTTTTGTTGAATATAAGAGAATTAGAGAGTTGCACAAGTATTTGAATTCTGATTACAAATTCATAAGTAGGAATATAGCAGCAGCAGATGTTTATAAGTTTTATGAGAAGGAAAAAGAGAAACTGAAGAGTAACTTGAAAAGAATTCCTAGTAGAATTTGCTTGACTTCTGATCTTTGGACAGCATGCACAGTTGAGGGATATATTTGTTTAACTACTCATTATATTGATAGTAATTGGAAGTTAAACAATAAAATATTATCCTTCTGTGATATGTCTCCCCCACATACTGGTATTCAGTTAGCTAAGAAGCTTCAAGAATGTTTAAAAGAGTGGGGAATAGAGAAAAAACTGTTTTCTCTTACTTTGGATAATGCTTCTACTAATGATACTATGCAAAATATATTGAAAGGACAACTATGTTTGCAAAAGGATTTGTTGTGTAATGGAGAATTTTTTCATGTGAGATGTTCTGCACATATATTGAATCTTACTGTGCAAGATGGGTTGAAAGTGGTGGGTGATGCTTTGAATAAAATTCGAGATAGTGTGAAATATGTTAAAGGGTCGGAGGGGAGGATGAAAGTGTTTGAAGAATGTGTTGAGACAGTTGGTCTTCAACTTAAAGTTGGTTTGTCAACAGATGTGCCCACTAGATGGAACTCAACTTATAAGATGTTTGATAGCGCTATTAAGTACCGACGTGCTTTTAGTAGTCTTCACTTGCTTGACACTCATTATAAGCATTGTCCTTCAAATGAGGAGTGGAATAGGGGTGAAAAGATTTGTGAATTTTTGATGCCTTTTAATGAAATTACAAAATTGATTTCGGGTTCAACTTATCCTACTTCCAACTTATATTTCATGCAAGTATGAAAAATTGAGCTTCTGTTGAAAAGAAATTTGAATAATGAGGATGTAGTTCTTAGAAACATGGCTAGTAGCATGAGAGTAAAGTTTGAAAAATATTGGGAACAATATAGTGTTATTCTTGCTATGGGAGCGTTGTTTGATCCAAGAATGAAATTTAAACTTTTGGAATTTTGCTTCAAAAAATTGGATCTAAATACTTATAAGCAAAAGTCGGATTGTGTGAAAAGCAAGTTGTATATGCTCTTTGAAGCATATAAAAGCAAGTCAATGACCGCGGCTCCTAGTTCTTCAACTTTGACCACTCCTCCATGCGAAAAATGCAACAATAGAAGAATCAAGTGATGAAATGATTGATGTAAGTTGTTATTTTTATGTCAGTTTTGTCATTCTTTTATTCTTTTATTCTTTATTATATATTGTTATAACACTTTTTAATATTTTTATACTTATAAATGATATAGGAGTTTGTTCAATATTGTAACCAAGATGATGTTGATAATGGAAAATCAGCATTGGATTTGTATTTGGATGAACCGCAGAAGGACATGAAGATGTTTGCTGATATGAATATCTTGAACTATTGGAAGGAAAATAGACATCGCTTCGGTGAGTTATCTTACATGGCATGCGATATATTAAAAATGATTTTTGTCAATAGGTTTCAAAACATGCATATTTTGTCAATTTTTTAGAAATTGAAAGTCCAATCAAAAGTCTCGATATGATTTAAAATATGCATTAAGGATAAGTCATAACGAATAGACGCGCGACCCAATTTAACATCTATCTAGAATAATAATCCACCAAAAAAGGTGAAACAAGTATCCTCATATATAGACGGGCAAATTATTGTGTGGACCATGATTCATATAATGTTATGTGAACCATAATAAAAAGTATATTTTTAATATATTAAATGTACATTATTTTTGTACTGTATATATATTCTACAATATACTGTACACTTAGTACAAAAATAATGTACTTCTCCTGAATACAATGTACATTATTTTTGTACGAGAAAATGGTCAAATAGACCCCTAAACTTTATCCTAAAGGTCAATTAGCCCCCTAAACTTTACAAAAGTGCAATTAAACCCTCAAATATGTCAAATTGGATCAATGAAGCCTAAAAACCGGTAAATTTCCTGTTATTACAGGTCATTTCAATTCCGGCAATAGATTCCGGTGACATTCTGACGACCGGCGAAATCCGATCACCGGCGACAAAATCCGGTCGTCCGATTGTCTTCCACTAGAGAAGACGACCGGACGGCCGCCTTCTCCAATGGAGAATAACGGCCAGATCTGGTCGTCTTCTCCATTGGAGAAGGCGGCCGTCCGGTCATCGGACGGCCGGATTTTGTCACCAGTCCCCGGGTTTTTTCATCGGTGGCCGGAATTCGTCGCCGGTGGTCGGAATCTGTCGCCGAAATTGAAATGACCTGCGATAACAGGTTATTTATTAATTTTTGGGCTTCATTGATCCAATTTGACATGTTTGAGGGTTTAATTGCACTTTTGTAAAATTTAGGAGGCCAATTGACTTTTGATGTAAAGTTTAGGGGCCTATTTGACCATTTTCTTTTTTTATACTGAATGTATATTGTTTTACGAGTTAATTACCGAAATGGTCCCTTGACTGTAGCGAAATTACCAATTTGGTGCTTGACTATTTTTTTGACCAATTAAGTCCCTCAACTTTAAAAATCTTAACCAATTTGGTCCTCCGTTTATTTGACCGTTAGTCAACCGTTAACTTGGGACCAAATTGATAATTCGCTATAGTCAAGGGACCATTTTGGTAAATAACTTTAAGGGTGGGCAATTCGATTTAGTTTTCTCGAACCGAACCGTACCAAACTAGTTAGATTCGGTAATATACTGAACAACCGAACGGTAATAGATTCTTGAGAACTTTTGATAACAAACCATAAAGAAATCAAATCAAACATTTACGAGAGATACCCGTGAGAATATGAGTTGAACGGCAGAGCAAGCAACAATGGAATTTGATTTACTTTTTATTTATTAATTAATTTATTTATTTAATTTATTATTATTATCATTATTATAATTATTATTATTATTATTATTATTATTATTATTATTATTATTATTATTATTATATTTAAAAAAAAATCAAACGGTATTCGGTTCAGTTCAATTTTTTACCGAACAATTCGGATCGGTTTTTTATCAAACCGTTCAGTATATATACAAGTATCAAATACCATTCGGTTGTTCGGCAAATTACCGAACTAATTGGTTCGGTACGGTTCGATTCGAGAAAACTAAACCGAATTGCCCACCCCTAAAGTAATTACCAAAATGGTCCCTTGACTATAGCGAAATTACCAATTTGGTCCCAAGTTAACGGTTGACTAACGGTCAAACAAACGGAGGACCAAATTGGTTAAAATTTTTAAAGTTGAAGGACTTAATTGGTTAAAAAAAGTAATCAAAGACCAAATTGGTAATTTCGCTATAGTCAAAGGACCATTTTGGTAATTAACTCTCTCTCTCTCCTCCATATATATAATAGAGCCAGTAACTTTTAAAAAAAAAAAAAAAAAAAAAAAAAAAAAAAAAAAAAAAAAAACTAGGACAATAAAGTAATTAAGCTAAGGATGGAAAATATATTCCTCGTATCTAGACAACAATTAAACGCAATTGGCAAATGTAAGTATAACGATGCATGATATCTATCATATCATATTCTTCTCCGAAACCTGAAATAGCAAACGACAAGAACCACCGCAAAGGCCGCAGAAATCGCCACCGCTGCTAGCGGTAGCTGAGTCATAGACGACCTTGCCAATTCTTCTTCAACATTCTCTTCGATTATCTTGTGCTCCAACTCTGCAATTCTATTCTTCTTCTTCACCCTATTATTCCTCGTCGCCGTCGTCTTCAAGTCTTCATCCAAACGCTCCATATCCATCTTCTCCGGATCTCCCATGCCGCCCGCCTGCAAATTACTTAGGCTAACAAATACTTTATATATATATATATATATATATATATATATATATATATATATATATATATATATATATATATATATATAGAGGTGAGTTCAGGTGCGGCAGTATTTTACGGTGCGACAATTTCTTACGGTGCGGCAACACCAATAGTTCAACAAATATGCACCATCAACGTTAGGAAAATACACCACACAAAACAGAGTAAACAGAGCCCTGCATCACCAAACACACACCATTAGGTGTGAGGTGTGAGTAAAAACACCATACACTATTCGGAAATATACCATTGGGGGTGGTGAGTTATATGGTGTATTTTTTTGAGTTTGTTGTGTATTTTGTGATTGTTTTATTGCATTTCATTGTGGTGTGTTTTTATTACACTGCTAGTGCATATTGTTAACACTGTTAGTGTATTCTGAAATTTCGCCGCACCATCGCACCGTAAGACCCCGCCGCATATGAACGCTCTTCTATATATATATATATATATATATATATATATATATATATATATATATATATATATATATAGTTATCACTTTTGAAGCCAAGAGATTATACTAGAAGTTTTCAATTCTTTTTGTGATTCTTTCCTTGAGATTATAAATACAAGCTAAGTTTCCAATTCTTTTTGTCATCCTTTCATTATATTGTTCAAGTTGCCAAATCTTATTTGAGGCTTCGAATATTATTATTATTGTTGTTGTTGTTGTCACTTCTGATTATAAAAGGGGTAACTTAAAACAAATGCAATGATATGACATTGTTGTACCAAAATCGCATTTTAGCATATGCAATTTTGGTATCTAAAAACTTTATGTATATTATCTCAAAAAAAAAAAAAATTATGTAATTGTATATTGAGCAGATACTATAGTTAGACTAGAGTGTACTACAAAAAGGCTTTATGTATATTATATAAGGTCATCTTCAACCCACTTAACACCAAAACAGCACCAAATTTCTTCACCAAATGTCACATCAAAAGGAATATTCTCAACATAGTTTAATATAAAATATATAAAAGTTGTGATGTAAATAATAATTTTTATTAACATTTATTTTTTCATTAACATTAATTATTCTAAAAATTGAATTTAACAATATTTTTTAAAATTTAGTTTATTCCACAACAATAGTATAGCATAAAACATCTAGTACATGTAATTATCAGAATTACTATATTGTTTTCACAAGTATATTAATTTTTTTTATAACATTAATTATTTTAAAAAATTGAATTTAACAATATTTTTCAAAATTGTGTTGTATTTTCTAATATCAATATTATCCAGTATGTATTTTAATTTTTTATTATGTTTTAGTTATGTTTAATGTATTTGAAATTTTAATTAATATATATTTGACAGAATAATGGGAGCTGATCCGGAGCAACAAAGACACTAACAAATACCTGTCCCGATACCACTAAGAGTCCAACGGGCAGAAGTCTAACGGACAGAAGTTCAACGAAAAGTTATTTACTGCGGGTCATTTACTACCACCCATTCAAGACAGGGAAATAAGTGCCAGGCTCCTCATCTTGGGGTAGCTGTTACTTACCGTTAAGAGACTTAGTATAGGTAGGAAGCTCTTTGCTGAACAGACAGAGGCTGATTCTTGTCTTCTTTCCTAATATACTCCGGTAAAAAGAGAAGAAAGAAAGATTGAAAACTTTTGAGTTTGGACCCCATTTTACCAAAGAGTTGCTTTGTTCTTAAAAGAAATTTGCTCCTTGAATTGTGATTATCTCATCTCTTCTAAAGTTTTGAAAGTATTGATAATTGCGACATTCTCTCTTTTTGTTAATTTTTCCATACCACTTCTTTGTTAGCCATCACCCATAGCCCCATTACAAGCTAAATAAATTCCTATTTGATTTTAGCATGCATTTTTAGATTTGATCTCTGGGAGTATGAATGGCAAGTCTATGGGATCTCATTCATGAGCCGTGTTTTGCATAATCTTAACTGAGTATTTGTGCACACTTGATCCTCACATACTTTAAATTCTTGGCGCTTGGTTATTGACTTGAGAATGAGTCTTATGTGCCAAGCTAATTTGATTCTTGAAGCTTGTTGTTTTGTAGCAAGTCGGTTGGTGGTTTGAAAGGTTGTGCAAGAGAGAGTAGGAGTAATTTGTATGTTAGACTTGTGATTTATTTCATGGTTTTGCTTGAGGACAAGCAAAGGCTTAAGTGTGGGGAGTTAATGTGCGCCCAATTGTGCATATTTCAAGTATTGATTTAATTATATTTGATATGTTTGAGTTCATGATTTTAGTAATTTAATTGTATAATCCTTTGTTTTATCATTTAGTTATGGTTCACACTTGTTTTGAACCATAAAAAGCCCATCTTCCCTCAACCTTAGGGGGATTCCTATTCTCTCCGGGTTTGACTCCAACTATAAAATCCCACCTTCCTCAACCCTAAAAATTATTCAGAGATCTTTGGAGACAAGAAGGAGAGAAATCAAGAGCCACAAGTTATCTTGGGAAGCAGGAAGAAGACTAGGGAGATTTGAGAGAATCGCTCTGGTTCATCCTTGTACTCTTTTGATAATTTGTATTACCTTTATTATTATTTGCTATGTATAATTTAGCCATGCTTGGCTAAATTCCATTAGAGATTCTTGGGTAAAAAGTGTTTATGAACCTATGTGCCTGAGCTCTCAGATTCTTTAATATATTATTATTTGGGGTTAATACTTGTGTTGCAATTGTGTTTATCATTCTTATTGCTAGTAGTTTAGGGCCCGAATTACTTGCTTCATAGCTTTGTTTGTGTCACAACGAGAGTTGGGCATAACTTAGGGCACACACAATTGCACCAAACTGTTGCACCTTGAGAAAGGGTACTTTTGTTAGGGAGTTTAATTATTGATTATTGCACATCGAGAGATGGTACTAGTTAGGAATTTACTATGATGCTTGTTCTTGTTTTATTGGGTGTTTATACCACGAGGGTGGATATTCACTAGTGTTAGTGATTACGAGACTAGCTCTATACCACTTTGCATCCTCACACCCGTTTAAACCCATATTTAATATTACATTAGGTTAGGCACTAGGTGATTAAACACTTGAATCCTAGGAATCTCATTCTCTCTCTATTGTTTTCAAAGCCTAAATCATTGCTTTTATTTATTTATTTACTTGCATCCTTCACTCGTAATCATTAGGATTAGCTTCTCGTGAATAAATTAGTAATTGGTGTTTAATACCCCACTTCCCTGTGGATCGATAACTCGTTACTCAGAGTTTATTTGTTCGAAAATATACTACAATCAAGGTGGAATCCCAACGGAGGGAGAAAACCCAGCAACAACAGGACCGAAGACGTCGCACTAGGACAAGGGGTCCAGAGGAGGACATCCAAAGAAGTGGAACGGCCAGACGAAAACCAACCCCTTCCCGTTCTGCCGTGGAACGGTTGGAACAGAGGGCATTCGGCAAAGGATGGGATCGCGGGCCGAGCGGTCCCCCACCAGAGACCCTCGCCGACACGAGAGTAAAGTAGCAGAGAAATCACCCACTGAGAAGATGGGTGAATCAGATGAGGCGGCCCAACGCCGACGCTTTGATGAGTCGGACCGCGCCGGCACTTTGATGAGCAACCCCGCGCAGACACTTTGATGAGCCGGATTGAGCCGACACTTTGATGAGCCAGCCTTCTGCCGGCACTTTGATGAGCCAGACCCGCGCTGACAATTAATGAGCTGGCCCCGCGCCGGTACTTTGATGAGTTGGCCCTGCGTCGGCACTTTGATGACTCGGACCTCGCCGACACTTTGATGAGCCAGACCGCGCCGGCACTCACACTTTGATAAGCCGACCCCGCGCTGGCACTTTGATGAGTCAGATCGCGCCGATACTTTGATGAGTCGAACCGCAGGCACTTTGATGAGTCGAACCCGCACCGGCACTTTGATGAGCAGGACCCGCGCCGGCACTTTGATGAGTCGGACCCGTGCCGGCACTTTGATGAGTCGGACCCGCATCGGCACTTTGATGAACTGGCCCTGCGCCGGCACTTTGATGAGCCGACCCCGCGCCGGCACTTTGATGAGCCGGACCCGTGCCGGCACTCTGATGAGCCGGACCCGCGCTAGCACTTTGATGAGCCAGCCCTGTGCCGGCACTTTAATGAGCCGGACCCGCGCCGGCACTTTGATGAGCCGGACCCGCGCCGGCACTTTGATGAGTCGAACCCGCGCTGGCACTTGGATGAACCGGCCTCGCGCCTGCACTTTGATGAACCGGCCTCGCGCCTGCACTTTGATGAGCCGGCCTCGTGCAGGCACTTTGATGAGCCGGCCCCGCGCCGGCAATTTGATGAGTCGGACTGCGCCGACACTTTGATGAGTCGGACCGCGCTGGCACTATGATGAGCCGAACCCGCGCCGGCATTTTGATGAGCCAGACCCGCGTCGTCACTTTGATGAGATCGACCCGCGCCAACACTTTGATGAGCCGGACTGCCGACACTTTGATGAGTCGGCCCTATGTCGGCACTTTGATGAGCCGGATTCGCTCCAACACTTTGATGTGCCAGACTCGATTCCAAAAAAAATAAAAAATAAAAAACATTTAAAAAAACAAAAAAAAATATTAATTACTGCATTCTACTCCCTATGGGCTGGTACTAGATCCGGTCCAGCTAACTATTCGACAGAAGGGCATTTCTTGGTCAAACTCAAAGTTTGGTTACGAAAACGCTATCCCCTAAGGAATAGTACGAGGTCTACAATCGCTCACTACTCTACGGAAGAGCCGACCTTTGACCGAGCCTACGGCCTGTCGAAGTAAGCTACGAACAAACACAAAAAATAAAAAAATAAAATAAAAAATAAAAAAAATTGGTCGAGTCTGCCTTGGCCACGCCAAATTAGATATGCCAAATTGGTCGAGGTCCGCTTCGGCCAAAACTGGCCGAGGCTGCCTCGGCCAAAGCTAGCAGAGGTCTGCCTCGGTCTAAACTAGCCGAGGCCCGCCTTGGT